CTCTTTGGTCATCTCCTTTTCCATTTCTCACAGCATTTATGCTAAACCTTTATCACTGTCTTTACCTTATCTATGGGCCTGATTCTTTTTTGTCCCAAATAGTTTTTTTCAATTGAAAAAGCGGCCGGGCATGGTGGTTCATGTCTATAATCCCAGCACTTTGTGAGGCTAAAGTATGTGGATTGCTTGAGTCCAGGAGTTCAAGACCACCCTGGGCAACATGGTGAAACCCCGTCTGTAAAAAAAAATACAAAAAAATACAAAAAAATTAGCCTGGCATGGTGGTGCATTTCTGTAGTCCCAGCTGCTTGGGAGTCTGAGGTAGGAGGATTGCTTGAACCTGGAAAGCTGTGGTTGCAGTGAGCCATGATTGTGTCACTGCACTCCAGTCTGGGAAACAGAGCGGGATCCTGTCTTAAAAAATAAATAAACTGAAAAACAACGTCTGTACTTCTTAAAAAGTCCAACAATGTAGGAGTACAAAGAGAAATTCCCTAAGCCTCCCTTCCATCCTAGACCACCAATTAAGGTACCCCCCACCACCCACCATGATGACATTTATTATTTTTTCTTTTTTAATGTGAAGGAAAGTACCAGAGAAGTAAAGAAACAAAAGATGGCTACTCCATAGGGAGAGCAGCTCCAAGGGCTGCTGGTTAGCTTATTATTTTCTTTTATATCCTTTTTTTTTTGAGACAGCGTCTCACTCTGTTACCCAGGCTGGCGTGCAGTGGTACAATCATGGCTCACTGCAGCCTCCACCTCTTGGGCTCAAGCCATCCTCCCACCTCAGCTTCTGGAGTAGCTGGGACCACAGGCACGCTGCACTGCTTAGCTAATTTATTTATTTTTTGTAGAGACAGGGTGTCATCATGTTGTGGCTTGTCTTGAACTCTTGGGTTAAAGTAGTTCTTCTACCTCAACCTCTCGAAGTGCTGGGATTGCCGATGTGAGCCACTGCACCTGGCTCTTTTGTATCTTTCCAATGATATTCTGTGTATGTGTCAAGCACCCACTTTTTTCCCACATGGGAACATACCACAGCATTCACTTAAGGTCTTACAAATGATTACTTCTGTCTCTTAGCATGCCCCTTGATACCTGTTTCAGAGAAAGTTTTCCTAGAGCTTGCCGTAATTGTCTATATCTGCAACCATTCTTCATTGTTTCTCTTCCAATATCCACACAAGGAATATATTTTCCTGTTCAAGGTTAATCTCTTTACTGCCTTTTTTGACCCATCCACATTCTGTCAGGAAAGTTTTGCTCTTTACATGCTCCATCCTGTAATGATGCTGAAATGTTTACCATTGTGAAAGAAAAAGCAGAAGGAAAACCAAACAACCCCTTTCTTCAACTTTCCCTTGACCCTTTGTCTCTCTGAATACCATGCTCTGCTTCCTTCCTTTTTAGCCACTTTTTGTGATCACTTGTTTTCATTTATTCAGTAAAGTTTTGAATGCCAGTTATACTGAGCATAGCACACAGGTAGATGCAATTTGGTCCTTGATTTCAAGAGGTTTATATTCAGTCTGGTATGGGGAAAGAGAGGTGTGAATCAATACATACGCTTCAGTGTTACTGGGGAGTTCATGTAGCATAATCTGTAAGAACTGAGGCTGTGGAGTTCTTAAAGCTGTGGGCTTTTTTTTTGAGTCAGGGTCTTGCTCTGTTGTCCAGGCAGATCAACTGCCAAACCCAGTGCTGATTTTTGTTTTAAGCCTCACCCTATATGACTTCTTCATTGTATTTGTACTAACCTTGCCCTCCTTGAAACCATGGTCTAACATGTTCTTCTCTTCTGATCTTTGGTTACTCCTTTCCCTACCCTTTAAAATGAGTGTTTCCAAGTAATCTCTTTTTCTCTTTTGACTTTATGCGTGCTTCTAGTGTGAACTC